TACTCTGAGGCTGTTCTGCCCATTAAACCAAATGAAAGATTCGATGCTGAGTCCACAGGAACAGTTTTCTGTGCTGGAAGTTTCTATTTTACAGTGAAGTCCTTTGTGCAAAAACACTTAAAGTGCACTGGGTTGGAAGATGCTAAGTTCTGTAGCACTGCTGTTCATTCCTCTTACAGATATCTACACTAAATAATAGCAGAGGGGAATGTAACTCTGGCAGTGACTAAAAAGAGCATTTCTAATCTGGCTATGAATGAAAATTACTTTTAGAATCTTCATTCATTTTGAATGGCAGCATAAAAACTGCTGCCTGTGGACATCAGTCTCTTAGAAAAGCATCTGAGATGTAATGTCAGATGCTTTGTTGCACCATCCCAGCAGGTCACATATGCATCGTTTTCCATTTATTATTTTTTGTTTATCACATACAAACGTATGTTGGCTGTTTTGAAATGATCAGCAACATTACAGAGAAACTTCTAAAATCATGTGGCGCCCTATCCTACGGATCAGCTCCAGCACTGAAGCACCATCATCAATCTAGTTTAAGCTCTCTAAGCTCTCCTCCATCTGAGCACGACTCAACAAGAAGCAACAGCCCCAAGCTTTCATTCAAATCACCATCTGAAATATGTAGATTTAACTGAATTTCTCAGTTATTTTACACGGTATCATAAAAAAGGAAAACTTCCTGCATGTACAAAAGACAGAAATTACGACTGCTTTGCCAAAACATGGATTTACAGTTTTTAAACCTCAAGCTTCAATGAAATAAATATAAGAATCTAATAAAAACTTAGTCTTGACATGCAAATCTGAGTATTGCTGGAGATAAAAGCACTAAACGTGTATATTTAATGTTAAAGGACTCATGCAGTTAACTGTATACTCAACATTTAATAAGTCACTGATGGCATCTTAAACCCAAAGCTAACGAATTTCCGCTCCAGCTCCATCCAACATGAAGCAACACAGAAGACTGACTTTAATTAACTGCACCAAACACAAATATCTTCAAATAACTCACGAAGAAAATCAACAAGACTGCAACTTCAACATGAAAAACAAGAGTTCAAAGCCAGCATCGACCAACGCAAGACAACCAGAACAGCAAAAGCTGTGCATCTCTGGGTGTGTGGGAACAAATTCAGTTAAATGATTTTAGTCTTCTTCCATCTTCCTTGTGAAACAACCCATACTCCTACCTAAGCTGGTTAGGGATTCTCTTATCTCTTTGTAACTCTCTCCACCCCATCCTCCTGCTTCACTTTCAGTGCTTTGGGGGAGCTGGGAGAGCTGCTGAGGGAAGGGGAAACGGGTGTTATTCACAGGTAACACAAGGCATAGAAACACCACAAGAAGAGCAGTTCCTTTAGAGTGCAAACAGGACAAAGAAATATATCATGAGAGGACTTTTGTTAAAGGCTAGTGTCCTGAACTCAAAGTGTCAGGCCCAGAATTCAAATGACTAAAAAATAACTGTCATTTTGTAAAGAAGAAAACTGTGTTTTGGTCCTTGAGTATTTCATAATAAGAACAACTTTAAACAATGAAGTCTAAGGAGAATTTGTTAGTGACTAATGATCAGCGATGCAAAACACCCCCCGAATTATAGGCACAGTGTGCAGGATACCAGCCAAGCATGCAAATTATAAAAAGCACCGTTCTGGGAAAACACTTTTTGCCCACTTTGAAAAGTAAAAATGACCTTCACCTTTTATAAATCATCTATATATAAAATTAAGTAATAAAAATAAAACAAAAAACAGCAGCATTTCTTTGGGTTTCAACTGATTACTTTTTACTACTAAGATTTCTCCAGATGTAGAGTCTCATTTTCTGATGGGGTTTTTAACACACACAGATTTTGCTGTGTATTGGCTACATGCCATGTGTTAATGATACACTGACAGACCTGTAAACAGGAACCAACATGCAAAACTACTAAAATATAACAGTCCACCTGCAACATGAGGACGCACAGTTCCTGCTGAGTAAGCAGAGTGAGACTTTTATTGCTATTTGTTCATTTTGTGACGTTAGAACTAGTTACAAATTCAGCTAAACTAAAAATATTCAAGTGAAATACAAGTACAAGAGTTTAAAGCATTTAACAGCACGCAAGAACAGAAATGGCGCCAACTGCTTTCAACACTATAACAGCTAACAACAATACAACTACGCATGCGTCTGCACTTTATTGTCATTGTTGTCAAAATCAGAAAAAACTACAAAATAAAAGCGGAGGTCGGAACTCACTGTAGGATTTTATTTTTCCTCCATCAAAGTCATTCTAGGACGTTGTCCATAGATTCAAAATCAGACAGCAGTAAGATATATTTAAAAAGCTAATTTGGTTGCATCCCGCAATGTAACTCACTATTTCCATGACAACAGTCTGTTTCCCACACATGGAAAAGTATTCAAGCTCAGTCTCAGTGGGCAGAAACGCCTCCCAAAACAAATTCACTGCCATGTATCCTTTAATTTAGCCAGATTAATAACCAGCTCTATTTTTATCACATTTAATTTCAGCCTAATTATAGCACTCGGCTCTTGTTATTATGAGATGTGAATATTGCAAACAAAATTAAAAAAACAAGTAGTGCAGCTTTTACACGTGTACCACTGAACATAATTAGGTCAGAATAACAACTGGTTGCGTATCATTTTTAATCAGAGGATTTGCAGTTATGGTGTTACATCATAGAAAAATAATGATCAAAAACCAAACTAATACGGCAGATGATGTGAAGCTGTATTCTTCACCTTATTTGATGCTCACGCAACAAACTGCTGACTGAAGATTGTTCTGTTTGTTGTAATTGTGTAAAATACACAACAGACTCCAATAGGACTGGCTTATACTGGGATCAGTCTACATCTGTTACAGTGGTCAGATTAGGCATTTGTAGAGCCGTGACCGAGTGATGCATCAGACCACAGATCAATCAAAGCCAGCAGAAGGGATGAATTTGCCCCAGAAAATTTAGCACAATCAGTAAAATCTGGAGATTATATGACACAACCAGGGTATACTAAAAGTTGTTAGCCAATGAGAAAGTTCACAGGTTCACAGTCAGGTCCTGCTCTCCTCATTCATCATGTCTGGTTTTAAACCCCTAAGATAACAAAGGCTAAAACGCTCATTTTAAATGATGTCACAGTGGCAAGCTGCCGTAGTCTGAATGTGGCTTAACACGCTGTTGGCACCTAACACATTCACCTTAATGTTTTATGTCTAACATCTGTTTTATTTAGAATTATAACCGATTTACTCAAGGCATCCCATCTATATTTTCCAGACCACAAGAAGTGCTAAAGCCGCTGTGCACTGCTGTTGGCTGCTGATGTGTTAATATACGTAAAAACTAATCAAATGCAGCCTTTTAACAGCTTTGTATTCACAGTAACGTGTGTAGAATTTCCAATGTATAAAAGAAATCTGTTATCAGTTTGTGAATTCAGCCATGATTTACAATAACAGCAATAAAACAGTTATCGCATATGTTAAAATAACTTTGATGAGTTACAAAGCAGACTTATATAAATAAAAATAATGACTGCTGGATTTAACTTTAATTCCCGAGTTTCTGGCGCTGTGCACGCTGGCTCACTGCTTACTGCACAGGAATGAAGCTACTGTTATACTTGTTACTAACATTTTTGCCTTTTACACAATTAAAAGTCAGTTTTATTAAAAAAACTAAACGAAGAGACTTATAAATACAGATGGTGAAAAATGTATCTTCAAGCTTGAAAACGTTATTTACTAACAGCCTAGCACATAAATGAACTTTGCGCAGTAACAGACGTTGATATGCAGACATTAACTGAAGCAGGCAAAAAAACCTCAGTGTGATGTGATACACGACCTGTTAACTCAACATCCCTGGGTTCAGTTACTTTTCATACACTCAAAATGTTAACTGGTACTTTACCATGTTCGACGCATAACAAACAAATGTCTGATTAGAAACATACTATAAGAAAACTACATAAATTGATAAAAATCTATAGATTTGATTGGTGTTCGACTTTGCTGAAACTCCCTGTTAAACTGGGATGTTTGGCTAGCGAGGTACTTCAGTCTCACTGCACCCCTCTAATCATCATATTTCCCACACATATGAAGTCATTTCTATTGCATGAAAAAAAAAATCAATAAAAAAAATTGCTTATTGCCTGAAGGCTGATGAGAAACCATAAAAGGTAGCAGAAGGGCAACACCTCATATATTTTTTAATTCTTAGGTAATTCAGCTTTCCTGGGATTTTATTAAACTGTTCTATTATTAAAAGTTATGCAAACACCACGCAGTTTTACAGCAGAGCAGATGAGTTGCACACACTGCTGATGAGTTTATATAACCCTACATTCCTTTGTAGTTTATCCAGTAAACAGCATAAGATTTTTTTTAAAAAAGCAGCTTCTTTTGGCTGCTCCCTTATTCACACGTGGTCATTACAGCATATTTGATTTGGCATATTTTTACTCCACATGCTGTTCCTACACAAAAATGTATGTTTCCCTTTGTCTAGAATTGGAGGTCTTACGCGTGTTAAGCCAAAGGGAATACAACCACCTGCACTGCCATTGTAGTAAAAGTCAACATTTATATTTTCATCTTTATTCCTTTAAATACCAATAACCACATATTGTTTTGGATGCTTCAATTTGCATTAAAACACAGTTTTGCATCATTTAAAGACCAAACCAGAATGTGACTGAAGAAATTTTGGTCCCACATTTTCTTTACCATCTTCATACCGGATAACATTAACATACCACAACTTTAGTGTGCTGTGACCTAAATTGAGATTTAAAATTACTTGAGGTCTATTCTACTGTAGGAGCAACTCAACAAAACTAGAATAATGTTGGTTGCTAGACCATGCATATGTTTGTATTTATTGGGAGCCAAGGAACAGTTCTCTTTAATAATCATGTCTTTATTCCTCTATTACCTGCCTCATCCTATAACACTGCATACTTACTTTTATAGCCTTTATTCCAGACTTGGTGATCTGAGTCATCTTGGCCTTGGAGATGGGGGGCTTGTACTCATTCAATGAGTACAGCTGAAATATGAAAGGAAAAAGACACAACAGCTTGTTTAAATACTGAAGCGATCCTATAAGAACCGTAAACTGCCACCCAATAGCTTTCTAAAAGAGTACACCCATTTATCAACTACAAAGCTTTATTAACAATTTAAAGAACCTTGGCTTTCGCTATCATGGGGCTCAGAGAGACACCAAGTTCACAATAAAGCGACGTCGGGGGCTTGCCTCTGACTCAGGTATTTGCGTTAGTATCGTCATTAAAACAAACACTCGCAATTCGATTGCGGTGGACAGCGGATTGATTTTTTACTAGGATTAAATGCAGGTGTTATTTACAATGATCATCATGCTAAAGCAAAGACTTTGTGTTATGTAGACAAATGACGGCTGCGGTCTCCGCTTGGAGGCTTCAGATAGCTAAGGCTAAACTTAACAGTGTGGATATGCGCTGCTACTTCACATTGTTTAGGTTGCATACACCGGGAAGCTAACTGTAATTTGGAAAGTACTGATTCACAATCATTTGTTGTTTCTTTCCAAGGTGAATGAGCGATGCTCTGTCCATGTTCACATCAGATAGTTAGCTCAAGCGGTTTTGCTAATTTGGAGCTAGCTCGCTAGCTAGCTATTTAGCGCTACTAGCAGCCGTTGGGTAATATTTGTTCACAGAATTTAACCCTGATTAGGGCTGTACTAACAAATTCACTCAATTCTTGCATGATGTGTGGCCAGTTTATACGAAGTACACACTCACTGACTTTACGTTACCGCTGCACTGCTGTGCAGAAACAGCGGCCTTGCCAAACACTACCCTCTTCTTTACTAAGATGCTAACGTTAGCCGACTAGCTACCGCGACTGTGAATTAGACAACATATCCTCAATATACTCAAATTTTTTAGCGAGAATCTCTTACAAACCTCATTGTTAAAGGCTTTGACCGCCTCCATAGTGTTGTATTTCGACTGGCAGACCACAGTAAATATTTACAAACGTCTCCTCGATAACCGGTTAGAGGCGTGCATGCCCGACGCTTGCTGAGATGGAGGAGACTGCCAATATGGCGCATAACCTCAGCGGGGAATGTGGAGAGAAACCGGCGACTCCTAGCGTCAATGAGTCGTATCAGACGGTGTATAATGAGACTTGATATGATATGTGGTAACGGTGGCACTGACAGAAAGACAGGAGGCTGAACTGGAAGTGTTAAGATTTTAATTGTGACTGACTACAGTGGAGAAGATTCGGTTAGTGCATCAGGGGGACAGGTTTGGAGACAAAGTTGGGGATGCATGGCTGATATGGTTTCCACCGATGATGCTTTGAAGAGGAGAGAAAGTGGTCAAGTTGGACAAAGGATGCCGAGGATGGAGCTGCCAGGCAGGAGGAGAAGAGGAAGACCACAGAGAAAATATATGGATGAAGCAGGACATGTTTGCTGCAGATAGGGTGAGATGGAGGTAGATGATTAGCTGTGACACGACCCTTAAAAAGAGCACCTGAAGCAGTACATTAGAAAACCTCTGAAACCCATGGGTATCAGTGATGACACTCACTCCAGGAATCATACAATGAGGCTGGGAAAGTTCACTTTTCTGACTTTATTTCCCTGTATACAAACAAACACTTTCATTCCAGAATTAAGAACAAACATCACACATCCCTTCACAATTATTGACATTTTTTTTTAACTTATACAACAGATGAAACATAAGGGGGAAATGCCTCTATATTCTGGTAGGTCCTGTCATATATTAAAATCCTGTTCGGCCTGAGGTGTCCAAACCTACTGTGCAGTCACATAATGTCTGAATTTATTTATAACCATCCACTTATCTAACTTGTACCAGGTCTTTCAGACTCGTTTGTATGATTCCAGGAGAGTCTTCCTGAGAGTTATCCTTAATACTGCTAAATCCCCACTTTACTTCAATATACTGTATGCACAGATGTTATCAGTTATAAAGTCTGTCACATTTTAGACAAGATTTTGTCTCATACTGTCAATGTTCATGGGCAGAAATGACAAAAATAATCAGTGTAGCTGAAATAATTTAAAAAGTTTGTTTTGGTTTAGAAGATTAAAAAAAATCTTCCACAAAAAACGAGGCGATCGCTACATTTCAGCAGTAAATTACATTACAGTCACATGAATTTGACACTTTTGAGTATTAAAAAAAGAAGAAATTCTGATTTGAGACCAACATTTATTCTGTTAGTGCAGGCCCTAGTGTTCAGTCAGCAAAGTCTTCCTAATAAGCATGAATATAGTATTTCTAGGGCGACGACATACACGCATTATTGAAAAAGCTTCTGTAACACATGTGTAACAGGCACTGAAGGTGCATGGCACCAATAACTGACTGTGAATAGTTTAAAAACAACACAATTCACTACAGATAAATTCAAAGTGTTTCCATGCAGAGAACAACGGAGACATTATTTCCATGCACTCCACCGTTCCAAATATACAGTTTATGCATAGGTTCATCAAATTATAAAAACAAACAGCTGTAAAAATCGCTAAACCTACAAATTAAACAATAAAAATAATACTACGACACATTTCACATTTTAATGTGTGCTGCTTATCATACACCGTCTCCACGTGGAACTAAAAACAACAGTTCATTCATCCAGCTACTAGTTGAAAAGAACTTGAAACAGAGTTCTCAAGTGAATAACCAACAGCAGTGTGTGTGTGTGTGTGTGTGTGTGTGTGTGTGTGTAAGTGTAAGTGTGTGTATTTGATGTATGTGACTGTGAGGTCCTCAGAGTCCGAACACCATAAAAAGTCATGAAGAGTCTTTATAAACTGGTCTCTACCACAGGAGCGGCTATGACCGACGCTTCAGCCTTTGCGGCCTCTGACGCCACCTGCTGGATGTGCGCGACACAGATATCCTGCACCAAAGGTCCGTTGGCCTCCTTCCACTCTCTGAACTTGTCTGAGGTAAGCTCCGGGTCAGACAGGATCTGTTCGATTGCCTGCAAGTCCGCCTCTTTTGCCTGTGCAAAAAAGTGAAAAACTGAATATGCATAAATTATTTAACTGTATTTTTTTTGCTATTCGCAAACTAAAAAACTAAAAACTAAAAAGGGAGGTGAGAAATGTACCTTTAATGTGCTGTTGAGTGTCCTGATAAGGTGCAGCTTGTCATTGACAGCCTGGTTTTTGCAGCGTCTTACGAAGGAGGTCCTAAATTCCTTTTTCGTGGATGGTTTACGTTCTCCTATCGGCGACAGACTGGCCTCCTTCAGATGAATATACAGCTTCTCCATCTCATCGGAGCCGTTCTCATGATTGCCTGCAACAAGACAACACACTTCATCATCATCCTACATGCAGTGGTTGCTAAATTAAGAATATTAACAGTCGTATATTCTGTTGATCACTGATGCTAATCAAAGTTCTGAGAAACAGGAAACGTGCTCTGCTTCTCAGAGCTGGAAGTGGGCCACGAGAAAAAACCGCATATATTAAATATTCACCTTTATTTTGCGTCCTTAAAACTCCCCTCTGATCTTCCCCCTCAGCTGAAGGCGTTTCCTCATTAGATTCAGTGCCCGAGGAGTCCTGGGTGGCCACGTTCTCCAGCCTCGTTTCCTCTGCCGTCTCCTTTTGTGGAGGCTGATGCGAGTGGACCTGGGCTGAGCACACCACTGCTGTTTCCCCAGCAGAAGGAGCTGCCTGCGAGACGAGGTCCAACCAGGACTGTCTCTGCTTGGTGAGCGAAGAGGCGGAGCTCTGAGATGTCATCGTACTGACAGGTGAGGAGAGCGAACCGTTAGCTTCGCTGGGGACTGCAGAGGAGTAAGGTGGAGGGAGGGTACCCTGAAATACAAATACATTTAAGTTAAGAGGTTTTTCTATTAATTAATCCCATTTGGTTCCACTTGGTTTTATTTACTTGTAATAAAACATGTCGTGTCCCTTAAAGACACAGCTGCCTTTGCAAAAGTTGTGACCATGTGTTTAATCTAAACAGAATGGAAATCTTGGCTGAACATTAACAATTAAACTACAGTTATATGAGTTATATGCTCATTTTGAATTCGACTGCATTCAGGCTGTTTATTACCGTGACCTCACTTAGTACAGAGTCATTCTAATGTTCTCAAAGTAGCATGGCATCTTCTTGCTGCAATAAGCAAACATCCAGCTGATGTTAGCATATGTTTCTCCAGAACCTGTACAGGTTTGCCGATGCCTTCACAGATGTGCATCAAATTCAAAATGATCTTATATTAAATGAAAAGATAAATGTTGGCTCTTATGGATGGATGTGCGTCCAGCCAGAACCGTTACTGACCTGATGTGTGCTACCAGGCAGACCGGAGGCATTCGAGGAGTCCCGCAGCGTCTGTTCAGAGTACGGTGGAGGGGGTATCTCTGTGGTTTCAGCTTCTTCGTGATCACTGGCTTCACTATAACACTCTGAACACGAAACATGGAGACACACAAGAAACAAAAACTTCAAACATGTAACCAACTGTGGGGCTGTAAACCCACACTTACCCCAAGTGGGCGTGCCCACCTAGATCCTGCTGCAGTTGTGCCCTTTGGGGACCTTACATGGGTTTTCTGTGGGTAAGCCCAGTTTTGCTCTTTTTGGGCTCCCGAGAGGGAACTTTGTGGGCAACCAACAGTTGTCTTACAGGGACCCCGAACGGCAAATCTGCAGCAGGATCTAGTTTGGGCTTGCCTTGCCCACACAGCTCCACATTTAGACACTGTGGGCCCACACAGGCACGTTTGCTGACACATTATTTATGATAAGGAAGCATCAAAAAAGAAAATATGACTATTGTGAAGAAGAGACAACCATAGAACATAATAGTGTTTTATTACACTGTCAGAAATATGAGGCTGAGAGAAAGTGGCTGGTTCAAAACCTCAGTAACGGAAGCTAAACTGGGGTTACTGCAAAAGAAGTCAATGAGTGGAAGCTATAACAGGCCATATTTGGTTTAGTAAGACAGACTAACACGTTTGATAGGATTTTAGTGTTTTATTTTTCTCCTCTGAGAGCACGTGGATCCACAGTGTAGTACGGTTTATCTGATCTAAGGATCAAGTGGAAGATTGCTGGTTTGAGAGTGAGAGATAGAGATCCCCTGAGGGTTGTGCCAGGACGAGCATCTGCTGTAAAGATCAGCCAAATTAACTACGTGGTGATCTCTCGTGAACTGGGACTGAGCATGAACATCCTTGTCCACACTCCTTACCGATTGGTGGTGGTAATGTACCATGGAGCAGATGTGGGCAGCCCACTGTGGGCTCTGGTACTGGCATGAAATGTGAGGCATGTCTGGGTACTGCAGTACGGGGCCTGGGCGGGGTCTCAGAGGGCAACTAACATTCAGAATGAGGGCGTACTGTGGGTATACTGTAGAGCCCACAACGAGCCCCACTGTGGGGCCCAGGTGTGCCATACATTTCATATTGGTCTGCCCATAGTAACCCCACACGGGGCTGAAGTGGGCGTGTTTGCTTGGAAAGTACTGAAGAGCTACATGACAATTAAAAACAAAAGATTCTGTTGCTGATTAAAAACTTAAATAGTAAATTTCTTAAACTAAAACCCAAAAAAGTGAGATGTTGGAACGACAGAGGCGGGGAACTGAAACAGGTGCTCACCGGCTGAAGCGTTTACTTCTGTTTGTTCATACTGAATGGAGGCCAGCCCAAGCTTATTCACCCACCTGAAACAAAGAGATGATCCAACTTAATTGCAATTCTGATAAAATATTATAATGCACATAAAATGTATACATTTCCAAACACTGTTTCAGTTTACACGACTCACAAGTTCATGTCCTCGTAGCTCTCGGCAGCAAAATAAAACATCATAACTTGCGGGTGACAAGCTTTGAATGCACTGAAGAGGGAAAGACAGACGAACAGCAGTTTAGTGTTTCGAGGGTAAAAAAAAAAGTCAGTTTTACTGTTATAATAACTGTGATTTCATAGATCACACCCAGCACTGTTTGTGAGGACTCACTATTTCTTCTTGCACTCGATGGCTCTGTCGATCATGAAGTTTGTGAGGTCGATGTAGCCTTCAGCTTTCTCTGCCTGCAACGCACAGATTGAACAACAGCGAGTATTAGAACAACTTTCAAACCACTTCCCCACACGGACGAGCGCGTCTGAGTTGCAACAGGCAACTTCTTTAACTTCCTCGTACTGAGTGGTGACGTGCAGCAGGTCGGACTGAAGTTATCGTGCCAGTAAGTCAAACAGATGTAGATTACACATATATGTAGCGGCGGGCTATTAGTGACACGGTCACATTCAGGAAGCGCCGTGTCACCAGCGCTCGCTGGTTCCTGCAGTGACAGGCTGGCGAGGAGACAGCTGTGGAGGAAACCAGTATGACTAACCTGCCTAGCGCACATCTGTGACTCACCCGGTGTTAATTCTGTGGTCTGTTACTTAAGCTGTAATAAAATGTAGTCATGTTTCATCTTTAGCATGAGACAAAAAAGCATAAAAGCAAATAAAAACACATGAAGCCACATCAATCACCGGATTACATGTTCAGTCATTGTGATACACGATGCCACCATCCTGCTGCTGTAAATAGTGATTACAGCACTTAATCCGCAGCTGATAAGTTCTCAAGAACTACCCCGATTATTTTTAACTATTTTTTCATGATAAAAAAAAAAAGGATCATCGAACAGTTTAAGATTCTTTTAAGGCGTTTTTTTGATGACTTGGGTGCAACACTGTTGCACTTTGTAACTTTGTAACAAAATAAAGAAGATATGCAAGATACTCTTTAAAAAGGGCAACACAGATAACATGACACACAAAATATTCCAAAGAGTGGTGGAAAACCAAAAGAAAGAGGTACAACTTTAATAGCTTCCTTATGTTTTCCTCTCTTTTGATATAATTCTCATCATTACATCATATCTTATAATCTTGCAAGATAAATTGAAGAAGTTGAAAAGCATGCAACTGATATAGAGGAGCAGACTTATCTGTGTTAAATATTTTTCTTATCGGGGATTGTGCAATTGTACGCTCGCTGTGTGCAATCTCTGAATAGCAACCAGCTATTAAATGCTCAAGTCTAAAACCCACATTAGTCTTCTAGTCAGAGGGTGTTTTACTCACCAGCTGGTTGGTATACCAGTAGAGAGCAGTCTTCTTCAGCACAAACCAGTACTTCTTCCATTTCATACCCAGAAAGCCTTTGCTTTCTTTCTTCCTGTACAGCCAGCCCTGGTGGTCTGGCTGGCCGAGCTCTTTGACCGAGATCCGTCTTCTGCTCATCGTACCATTGCCTTAATCAGACAACGGCGCATTTAGTCACAGCATCAGAGGAAGCAGAACGTTACAGATTTAAACATCCAAACACAAACAACCAAAACGTTTCCATTTCAGTCGAAAGAGCTCCCGGAGTTTGGTTGATAACCAAATGGACCTCTAAAACTAAGAAGCGCGTGAAGCATCCTGGAAGAGTCACATCAAAAGTGCAAAAGTGCTATTCTACCTTCATCCTACCTGTTACCGATATGAGTCAGTCAGCAAAAACAGTATATACACAAGTTAGTTAGCGTCTCAGAAGAACCCAAAGGCACGGCTACACAGAGCCAAGAAATAAAAGAAGTGAAGTGAAAGTAACTGAACTCGTCTAAAATCCCTCTGCACACACCAAGCGCACCGCTGCTTCGCATCCACCCACTACGCTTTCAAATTGCAGCTGTAGGCTGAGATAAGTGACAAGGTGATAAGGCAGGACTCACCTCCTCGGCTCTTCTTCTTGGATTTGTGTCGGAGGGAGACCTTTGAGGAGTGCAGAGGAGGGTTTGGGGGAGGTCAAAAAGAAAAAGGCAAGGGGGTGAGCAGCAGTTTCAGACCACACAACTGAGAAGAAGAGGCTGTCTGAAACATCCTGTTTTCACACTGAGTGTCACGTGCATCTTCTCTGTCTTTCTACATGCTGTTTAACACCATTAGCATCTGTGACTTGTTTCTTATTGGTCTCCTTTTATTTGTAACTCTCTTTGCTCCCCAGTGAGTCAAACAAAACATCCACCTGGTGGTGTCTAAACTCTGGGTGTATACTGCTTACATTCAAATGAGTTTCTGATAAATAGGGAAGCAGAAGTTTCTAATTCATTAAAGAGAGAGCGAGTAAATGTTAGAAAAAGACAAAAAAGAGCTACTTACAGGGTTGTAGTCATCGGCAGCCATTGAAGGAGTCACAGATATGGGGAAGGCAGCCTGTTGAAAGAAACACCTTATTCAAAGATGTGTAGGTTGAAAAAAAAAAAAACACAGAAATGAGCAGAAAAGGAGAAAAAAATTTCTTCAGTGTGACAAAAGGATGTGGCGTCACGGGTACAGCAAAGATGATGTTTCCCAATCAGCTTTTTTTCTCTTTCTTATTGTTGTTTTGTTTTTCAGAGGACGGAAAAAACTGAATCGAACATGCTGAGAAACAGCAGAAGTTCTGTGGAAGCAGAAGCTCAGAGAAAGGTTAAAAACGTAAAACGTTAACGCTCATGATCAACACTGAGTCACAGCACAAGTGTCACAATGATCAGTGTCAGCAGATTTGTTTAATATGTGACACACACAGAAAGTTGTCTCACAGCAAAACGAAAAGGACTCTTCTGCAAAACGACATCGTGCAAAAATCTATTTTTTCCCAAACAAAGAATCAGAAAGATTTTTCTCACTTTGCAGTTCAAGCTCATAAACGGACAGTAACGTTGTGAAATCTAAGTTGCCTTTATTGACCAACTTCCTCTAGGTTAAGTTCCTTTTTTTTGAAATGCCAGAACTGTTCGAGAGAAAGAACAGAGACAAAACTAAGCACCGTGCTGCCCCACTGGGTGTGAAGTTAGAGAAAATGAGAATCTACACTGTGGGTTACACGTTTCAAAGTACTCTGAAACGTGTAACCCACAGGCACTTTTAGACTCGGTGGCAAAACCAGGCAGCGAGTTGTTCACAGGGTCCCGAGCCCTGCTGCAGCTGTCCAAGTTTAGCCACTTACCACAGCTCGCCAAAGTCCCCAGCTAGAACAATGAAGAGAGAAAGACTCATACCTGGTTCTTTAAAAGGTTCGTCCAAACAGCTAAGTATCCTCTGTGCCTCTGACAGTGATAATAAACCATCACTAGAAGCTCTCATCAATACTTCTGTATATTTGTGCCTTGCTCAACACAAATGTATCATCACTTTGCTTTCCGGGTGTCAGAGCTGAGAGGCTGAGTGTAGGAGGTAGATGCCTATCACCACACAAACCACTGCCCAAACCTGACTGAGAGTGACTGTGTTTAGTAACTAACTTCCTCTTGGAGTTTTCTCTTTTGCACATGTTAAGAACCATGTGTAATTTTAGTGGCAAGATCCAGACTGAACAAACCTACCTGCAGATTTACGCAACTATTCTTTGAGGTTAGATGCAACAAGAGATGAAAAATGAAATATTCCCTCTGTATGTAAGACGCTCTTTTATATCACCATTAAAGGAGGAAGTTTACACTTCACCTGAAAATAAGATTTTGCTTCTGAAAGTAAGCTTTCGGGAGAAAAAGAATGACGCAATTTCTCGACCACTACCTGAAACAAATACCTACAATGGATTCAAAAGAGCGAAAAAAATCTGCGTCTTACAATGAAATGACAAAGAATAGAGGTTAAATGTTAAATAACGATTTTCTGACTGTAACTACTTGTGTAGTTCAGCAGCAGTCAGCAGTAGCCTGACTGCTTGTTGTCCAGTAGCTTAGATGGCGAAACAAAGTCAAAGAAACCTGCGGACAAATGAATTAGTCCGAGCTGCCAGTAAAACAAACACTGTACCTTCCACCATAACCTCAGAGAAAGTAGTCTGTCTCGAAACCTTCGCTCAAAGGTTGACCAAACTTTGCCAAACATGTCAGGAACACAAGCAGAAAGCCAAAGAGCACATTCAAAGACACGTCGGCTGGTTTCAGGTGAGTTCAGGTCCTGTCTGGGCGTTACCCTCCAAAGAGGCACCACCCAGACTGAAACTGACAAAGTGACAAATATTTCTGACTTATCCCCACCAATAATTCAGATATAACTACAGGGCTAATTTTTCTCATTTCATATTTTCCCCACTTTCCCCACACATCGCATCTTTCATTCATTCATTAAATTCAGTAAAATCCATACGTTTTCGCAGTTACCCCACCTGACCGCTGGGTGTCGCTAAATCCCAACTGTTTAACAGCCTTGGGAACCTCAGTGAGAGCGTCATAAAAGCATCATTTTTACCCAACACACACATTTGTCTTTACAGCTGTTGTTGTACTTGACGCGTAAAATGTAAACTGGACTTGCCTGCGTAATTCAAAACACATCATTGTTTCAAACAGCTGTGACATTCACAGTAACTCACGCTGAGTATGAAAAGCAGCATTTCACATGTGGTGAATGCAGAGGATGTCCGCACTGATGCTTACAAAGCACTTTTTTATTTTATTACTTTAAGAGAAGTTGATAAAAATCACCAACAACCGCCTGCAAGAAGAATGAGAAACATAAGCGGTTCATGTTACACCCATCCACTCGTTGCTTAGGGAAGCTGTTCCCTGGCTATCAACACCCTTCGCTGCCTCAGTGGGGAGCGAGTTTTTAGCCATAACATCACTGGCTGAGCTGTATCTGTGCAGAAGCTCGGATTGGCGGTAAACCAGCAGGCACATTCCTGAGCCCTGCGTTATTATAGTCTCCATTTTTACTAAGCCTAAATAGACAGGGGCCTCGTATTTCTTTCCACTTGCCATTGTACAGTAGAAAGTGGCGTGAAGTGACGAGGAGGCCTTCTTTCTTTATCTCGCTCACATTCGCGCAGGCTGCGGCTTCCTCTTTGCTTCGCTGTCACCCTATCTGTCTCATCTGTATCAAGTGACTTCCTCGATTTGCCTCTAAACCTCACAGAAGCCTTTAATATTTCAATTAAACGCGCTGAACTAAACGCCCGTCTCATTTCTGTGCATTTTACTGCAGCTCTGTGTTGGTGGAAGTGAGATAATCCGGCCTGCGACTCATGTCAAAGGATTCAAGGGAGTGCTGATTGGTCACACCAACTCAATCTCCCATCATGATCCGTGCTGAGAATCGTCATGGCACTTACTTACCCCCACCCAGAAACTGTGTGTGAGACAGAAAGAGGAGGGGGGGTCAAACAGAGTGGCTATTATTTACCAGGGGACTCTGACACAGTGTAAAGGGGGGAGGGTGCAGTGGTTGGAGATGATATCAGATTCTCGCTCGCTCGGTTTGATGGCGCTGCATGCGCCTCGCCGGCTGTTGGTGACTGTGCAGTTGCCGCTGATCATGTCCTGAATTTTGATTTTGGTGCACAAAGCTCTGAATTCAAGGCTGAAAGAACTTAAATCAGAAGTTGGTCTGCAACATATAAACCTATATAGACACAAATAGTCTAAAAGAAGCGGGTGGTGGCATCCCGTATAGCACGCCTGCATCAGCGCTGACAGCAAGGCTGAGGTTGTGCAGCAACAACTTGTAGTCAGAGCATAAATGTGCACAAATGTGATTCGTCCACGACTCCGTGTGTCCAGCCATCTTACCCCTGTGGAGGATTGACAGTAACCCGTGGTACCGGGGTGTGTGGTTTCACTGTGTGCGTCCTCAGTTAACCCCTGCAGTCATCTCATTCCCACATATGTTAAAGCCAGAAGGTGAACGATCAATTTTCTACTAACAGCACATTCAACAGAGATGCAGTCTTCTGCAAAGTGATGCTGCCAACACATAAAGATGATCTGTACCACGTTAGTTTAGAGATTTAGCACAAATTTTAATTTAGGATTTTGTAGTTGAATAAAAAATTAACCTGTCAAGGATCCGATTTATCCCCAAACATAAATGTCTTCAAGTTTTACGTAAAATTTTGAATTTTATTTCATATCCAAATGTCAAATTTAAGATGCAGGAAAAATCGAGACACTTAGAAAGATTCATTTATATTCATAAAAAACAAAGAGCTTGGCAGTGCAGACTAAGCTTTGTGTGCAGTGTAATGGGTCAACCATCGAAGCTCTCGATTTTCAGCGCCTCTTTGTTCAGGCCTTTCCTCACAAACACATCATTCAGGTGCATGCACTTCATTTTTTCAGTGAGAGGAGCTGATTGTTATTTACTTACAGCTTGAGAAAAGGACCACGATCGTAAATGTGGATGATTATACCTGTAAGAACAAGCGAGAGACACGAAAGCCAACACATTAATAACTGAAAACACACCACACGCACTGATGTCGAGCAGACTTATATCACACACCAAAGAGATTCATCTCACATTACCGCAGTGTATTTTGAACATTTCCAAAACATACTTATTGCTTCCCAGCTAACTGCTCATTATCTTTATCTGTGTTCCAATCGGACTCTCTGATTTTGGCAAAGCAGAAGCAGACACTTACGGGTTGGGATTTATTTGTGAGTGCGTCTGATAATACATTTGGAGAGCAGTCACAGGAGCATGCTGGAGAAGAAGGTCGCTCCCAATGTTCTGACTCTTCTCAATATTGAATTGCCCTCTGCTGGGCCTCAGCCAGTGTGATTTGCAGGCTGTGAAATGGATTAAGGCTTGCTGTCCTTCCCCTTTAATTGCATTTTTGTTTTCCCCCCTCTCAGATTATTAAAAAAAAGATGATAAAGATTGTTTTAAAAATGGTTTTAATAGATGACAAAGAGAACTCCAATGCACCGTTACATTCCTCGCTTCACCGTGAGAAAAACCCCCCTCTTGTTTTTACAGATTGACCAGCCTAAAATTAATATGACACACGATTAAATCCGCTGTCAATCAAATTCCTTTCCCTGCATCAGCGGCACATGTTCGTAACCGCCACCAGCGATGAGTCAACTACGTATCTATGAGATTTACAATAGCATCTGTCTATATATCCTAATTGTGAGTAATGTTTTTGATCAAGCGTGCAATAGACCGGATGCGGCGTGCTTGTGTGCGGCTCTTAGAATAGAAGCACCGGGCTGGGGGTGGGGTGCAAGGCGTTTAGTCATCTATTGGGGTGTTAATGTGGGGAGTCACACTTCCCCAGGCCCTGCGTCCAAGACAAGAGATCTATGGGCAACGCATGAGGAGAGGGAACAGCAGTCCTCATATGTCATCATATTTGGTAGTGGGATGGAGTTATTTATAGTTGGAAGCGGATTTAGGATTCGTCATAACAGTGACATTTCTAAAGATCTCTGGGGGATCTTGGGGGTGGATGGACACATTGCTGTGTGGGACATGTTGGATGCTGAGGTGCTGAGACAGAGCTGTTTAAAAAAAGGCCACAAATACTCTCAGTTTCATTATAAGCTCTAAATTAATTAAGGAACTTCAATAATGGAAAAAGTCACGTCGATAAAAATGACTAATGCTCTGCAGAGGATGTTTATCTATCTCTGTAATTAACATTGTTTTACCAACTACCATCAGCCACAGTAGAAACCTTCACTTTGGAGGTAGTTCTCTACCGGGGAGCATAATCGTTCTCCAGGTTGTACTTAGACACCTTCAGTCTGGCTTTACGTTGCCTCCTGTGCAGAAGTGGCATTTCTCTGATACCTCACCCTCCCTGCAGGGTCCTCGTGACTACAGTTCCCGACTTGGTTAAGTCTGTGAGGCTTTTGCACTCTGTGGTTCTTGATAATACTTTACACTCCAGTTGTCCACACTCGGAAAATCTGTGATAACTTTGAATATCCATCTCCTGCTTTGTGAGCATCTAAACTAAACGGATTACTCTCGATACCTCAGCAGAGCTGGCAATATCATTAAGGACTACTCTCACCCCAGTAATCAACTGTTTGAACTATTACCGTCAGGCCGACGGTACAGGTCACATAAAACCAGGACAAACAGATTCAGGGATAGCTTCTTTCCCAGAGCTATCACCGTAGTAAATAAGCACAAAACAATTGAACCCGCTTAACTATACCATACTTGCCATTGTCACTATATTATGCTGCTATTCATACTATCATTATGTTATGCTGCTATCCTGTATATATCGTACTTATTATTGTCTGAGTACTTCGGTTGTTTTATTGTACTTTTTATATTTTACATTTATATTTATTATTGCATTTTGCACCAAGGGAGTGGCACTCCAATTTTGTTGTACTTTGTACAATGACAATAAAGGCTATTCTATTCTATTCTATTCTATTCTATTTCGCTGGTTTTGCCACGATGCTTTCTCATGACACAGATCAAATCCTTACTGAAGTTTTTATACTGTGTGTAAATTAGAAAATAATTATAATCATTGCTCAGCAGTGGATGGTTTGTTTGTGATGCTCAATAAAAAAGTCAGTTTTACAGGATGCTAAGATGCTACCTGTGCTTTCTAAAGTAAACTAGTATGTGTAGAAATGCTGTGTAGAAGATTCCTTACTCTGTTAGACAAAAACTTTAGATTTCATTGGAAGGCTAATAATTTGTAAATGACAATAATTTGCGGGGTATATTCATATATAGACATAGTATGAAGAGGTCCCTTTTTCAGTAACCATCTCTCCTCCAAATAATTCATTTGGCTAGTTGAAAATCTGGAGCATTAGCTGTTGTGTGCTTGCTTTTTGTCTTAAAATAGCCAGAGGATTCGTGGTTTGAGAAACTAAGGCTATTCTATGGGGTGCAACAGTTTGTGCAACACACAAAAGTGCACGCGAAACAGAAGTGAGAGTGCCCAGTGAGCAACAGAAATAGTGTGTCAAAGTTTCAGATTTGGGAAACTGTCTGCTCACAGGCCAACAGTGAAGAAACAACTTCCAGGAAGATTTGCAAAGAAAAGAATTTTCAGAGACGGACAAAAAAGGAAAATATTAAGATGGACAAAAGACCCCAAAAGTGAGGGTTTGGGGGTATTTGGAGAGTAGTTTAGTAGTTCACTGCCCTACGACATGTTATAAATATTTAGAGAGCAGTCAGCTGGTATACTGCCTGCACACAACACAGCCTCTGGATCTGAGTCCTGCTGTTGTGGTGGGAAAAATGTTGTATGTAAGAAGTGCCCATCAAACCGTTCCACATTGTGGGCTGCACTTCATAAAGCACGGGCTAACATTTATCCAAGACTGCTTTAAGAAAGTGACAGTAACAATGTAAGAAGTAAGGCGGTCGTTGGAAGAGT